CAATAAACTCTCATAGCCAGGACTTGATATAGACACTTTGGAAAGAAGTTTTGGCCAGATTTTACAAGCGCCAAATATCCCACTTGTGTGATAATCGACCGTCATTTATGTTCCAATGTTATATCTTAATGTCGTGTCGCGTGTATCATTGTATCTTTACTTTAATTTAAACAGACACCCATGGCAAGGGGTTCCTGCTTCCTGAAAGTCTGGCATACTCTCACACATATATTTGATTCGATAACCAGAAAGGTTTACTGCATTCCGAGGTAGATTCAAAAGCTAAATTCATTTGAATTATTTGAAAGGCAACAAAATATGCCAACTCATATGTATGCATATTGATTGCTGGAAAAATTGACAACATACAATACTGAAAGTACATGTAATCAATAGCATTTAATTCCAAACGACGGAAGGCCTACTGTTAAAGTCAAGATCTGTTAGGCACTCAAATAGATAATATTGAATTTCATTCATTCATGTAGTACGACCCAACTACATGATAATCGTATATTTTCTCCGCAAATAAAATATATTCATGCAAGTCTCAAGGCGCACCTGAGATCACCCCCGGTTTTTGGTGGGGTTCGTGTTGCACATCAGTTAGTTTTCTATGTTGTGTTTTGTATACTGTTGTTTGTCTTTTGGTCTTTTTCGTTTTTTTGCCCTGACGTTGTCTGTTTATTTTCGACTTATGAGTTTGAATGTCCTTTTGGTATCTTTCGCCTCTCTTGTCATTGAGTTGTTGTTTCAATAACGTATACCCGAAATGGTTTTTTTTTATTCATAAGTTCGCCGAATATTTTAATCTGGTTTCGTGCCGAAAATGTTAAATTTATAATCGAGGCCGTCTGATTATTCCCTTTATACTGAATCTATTAAAAAGGTTCACAGATTGCTGAATTCACTAAGTGGTAGTGATATAAATACAGATTGCTGCAATTACTTGATTTAGTATGAAATACAGCTTGTAAGGTTTTTTTTAATTGAGAGGGCTTCAAATTCTGTTAGACCTCAACAGTATTCCCAGAGAATTAACTCTTATCTGTATAAAAGAACGTACTTAAAAATCAAACACGGCCTTATCTTCTTGGTATATCAACAGCAAAACAATGAAAACAATACGTTATAAATTTCATGCGTCCGAAGCGCTTTTCTGGATTTACCTTCATCAGGAATGCTCAAAGCCGAATATTTGAAAGCCAAAGATGTATAAGAACTGAAACAGTTGATGAGATGTATGACCAAAAAGGACCTAAAAAATAGCCAAATCCATCTAAGGTCAACTTTGCCTGAGGGAGTTGAAACCTTAGTTTCTTTATAATTTCAAAATTTATTAACGGAAGAGTCAACTATAAATATCATCACTATGTTCAAAAAATGAACATTTGAAATATGTATATATAGAAATAACAAAATGTCCTGGCATTAAACTTAATTATTTTTTTGTTCATTTTTAGCTCACCTGGCCCGAAGGGCCAAGTGAGCTTTTCTCATCACTTGGCGTCCGTCGTCCGTCGTCCGTCGTCGTCCGGCGTCGTCCGTCGTCGGCGTTAACTTTTTACATTTTGAACTTCTTCTAGAGAACCACTAAATGGAATGAAACCAAACATGGCATGAATGTTCCTTATGAGGTGCTGACCAAGTGTTGTTACTTTGTAGCGGATCCATCATCCAAGATGGCCGCCAGCGGGGGACTTAGTTTAACCTAGGACCCTATGGGAAATACATACAAATGTCTTCTTTTAGAGAACCACTGAATGGAATGAAACCAAACATGGCATGAATGTTTCTTATGAGGTGCTGACCGAGTGTTGTTACTTTGAAGCTGATCCATAATCCAAGATGGCCGCCAGCTGGGGACTTAGTTTAACATAGGACCCTATGGGAAATACATACAAATGTCTTCTTTTAGAGAACCACTGAATGGAATGAAACCAAACATGATATGAATGTTCCTTATGAGGTGCTGACCAAGTGTTGTTACTTTGAAGCCGATCCATAATCCAAGATGGCCGCCAGCGGGGGACTTAGTTTAACCTGGGACCCTATGGGAAATACATACAAATGTCTTCTTTTAGAGAACTACTGAATGGAATAAAACCAAACATGGCATGAATGTTCCTTATGAGGTGCTGACCGAGTGTTGTTACTTTGAAGCCGATCCATAATCCAAGATGGCCGCCTGCAGGGGACTTAGTTTAACATGGGACCCTATGGGAAATACATACAAATGTCTTCTTTTAGAGAACCACTGAATGGAATGAAACCAAACATGGCATGAATGTTTCTTATGAGGTGCTGACCGAGTGTTGTTACTTTGAAGCTGATCCATAATCCAAGATGGCCGCCAGCTGGGGACTTAGTTTAACATAGGACCCTATGGGAAATACATACAAATGTCTTCTTTTAGAGAACCACTGAATGGAATGAAACCAAACATGGTATGAATGTTCCTTATGAGGTGCTGACCAAGTGTTGTTACTTTGAAGCGGATCCCTAATCCAAGATGGCCGCCAGGGGGGACTTAGTTTAACATGGGACCCTATGGGAAATACATACAAACGTCTTCTTTTAGAGAACTACTGAATGGAATGAAACCAAACATGGCATGAATGTTCCTTATGAGGTGCTGACTGAGTGTTGTTACTTTGAAGCCGATCCATAATCCAAGATGGCCGCCAGCGGGGGACTTAGTTTAACATGGGACCCTATGGGAAATACATACAAATGTCTTCTTTTAGAGAACCACTGAATGGAATGAAACCAAACATGGCATGAATGTTCCTTATGAGGTGCTGACCAAGTGTTGTTACTTTGAAGCTGATCCATAATCCAAGATGGCCGCCAGCAGGGGACTTAGTTTAACATTGGACCCTATAGGAAATACATACAAATGTCTTCTTTTAGAGAACCACTGAATGGAATGAAACCAAACATGGCATGAATGTTCCTTATGAGGTGCTGACTGAGTGTTGTTACTTTGAAGCCGATCCATAATCCAAGATGGCCGCCAGCGGGGGACTTAGTTTAACATGGGACCCTATGGGAAATACATACAAATGTCTTCTTTTAGAGAACCACTGAATGGAATGAAACCAAACATGGCATGAATGTTCCTTATGAGGTGCTGACCAAGTGTTGTTACTATGAAGCTGATCCATAATCCAAGATGGCCGCCAGCAGGGGACTTAGTTTAACATTGGACCCTATAGGAAATACATACAAATGTCTTCTTTTAGAGAACCACTGAATGGAATGAAACCAAACATGGCATGAATGTTCCTTATGAGGTGCTGACCGAGTGTTGTTACTTTGAAGCCGATCCATAATCCAAGATGGCCGCCTGCAGGGGACTTAGTTTAACATGGGACCCTATGAGAAATACATACAAATGTCTTCTTTTAGAGAACCACTAAATGGAATGAAACCAAACATGGCATGAATGTTCCTTATGATGTGCTGACTGAGTGTTGTTACTTTGAAGCCGATCCATAATCCAAGATGGCCGCCAGCGGGGGACTTAGTTTAACATGGGACCCTATGGGAAATACATACAAATGTCTTCTTTTAGAGAACCACTGAATGGAATGAAACCAAACATGGCATGAATGTTCCTTATGAGGTGCTGACCAAGTGTTGTTACTATGAAGCTGATCCATAATCCAAGATGGCCGCCAGCAGGGGACTTAGTTTAACATTGGACCCTATAGGAAATACATACAAATGTCTTCTTTTAGAGAACCACTGAATGGAATGAAACCAAACATGGCATGAATGTTCCTTATGAGGTGCTGACCGAGTGTTGTTACTTTGAAGCCGATCCATAATCCAAGATGGCCGCCTGCAGGGGACTTAGCTTAACATGGGACCCTATGAGAAATACATACAAATGTCTTCTTTTAGAGAACCACTGAATGGAATGAAACCAAACATGGCATGAATGTTCCTTATGAGGTGCTGACCGAGTGTTGTTACTTTGAAGCCGATCCATAATCCAAGATGGCCGCCAGCGGGGGACTTAGTTTAACATGGGACCCCATGGGAAATACATACAAACGTCTTCTTTTAGAGAACCACTGAATGGAATGAAACCAAACATGGCAAGAATGTTCCTTATGAGGTGCTGACCAAGTGTTGTTACTTTGAAGCTGATCCATCATCCAAGATGGCAGCCAGCGGGGGACTTAGTTTAACATAGGACCCTATGGGAAATACATAAAAATGTCTTCTTTTAGAGAACCACTAAATGCAATGAAACCAAACATGGCATGAATGTTCCTTATGAGGTGCTGACCAAGTGTTGTTACTATGAAGCAGATCCATAATCTAAGATGGCCGCCAGCGGAGGACTTAGTTAAACATAGGACCCTATGAGAAATACGTACAAATGTTTTCTTTTAGAGAACCATTGAATGGAATGAAACCAAACATGGCATGCATGTTCCTTTTGAGGTGCTGACCAAGTGTTGTTACTTTGAAGCTGATCCTTCATCCATGATGGCTGCCAGATGGGGGCAATGTTTAACAAAGGACCCTATGGACAATACATACAAATGACTTCTTTTAGAGAACCACATACTGAATGGATTGAAAACAAACATGGCATGAATGTTCCTTATGAGGTGCTGACTAAGTTTTGTTACTTTGAAGCTGATCCTTCATCCATGATGGCCACCAATGGGGGGACTTCCTTTAACATAAGACCCTATGGGAAATACATACAAATGCTTCTTCTAGAGGTGCACTGAATGGAATGAAACCAAAACATGGCATAAATGTTTCTTATGAGGTGCTGATTAAGTGTTGCTACTTTGTTGCCGATTTACTGTTCAAGATGGCCACCAGGATTTTTTATTAAATTACAGGACCAATATTAAACCAAATTTGGCCTCACTCATTATTAGGGTATCTGTTATGATTTTAATCTATTTTTACATGATTTCCAAAACCAAAGTAGAATCAGGTGAGCGACACAGGCTCTTGAGAGCCTCTAGTTTTAAGATAATTTTAGTACCAAGGATGGTAAATTTTCAGGAACAAATCTTCCTACCCTCAACGTCTTGTAACATTAATAAAGTCTACTTTATTTCATTAGGCATTCAAAAGTAGCTTCAGTTTTCCGGTTTGTGTGTTCCTCCGATGCTGTAACCTGTAGCTCTGTGTATCCAAAATGCATTTGTACTTTTATACGCCTACTCTTACCTCTCTCAACGTCCGGAATAGGGATAGTTAATATTCCTAAACGATTAACGCCTTTGTCGATGGTGTATATTGGATTTACGTTTTCAGATTCATACACTTCGACCGTCGCTTCGGTGTCAGTTGATCTTGTCGGACTACACACCATCGTATACGTAGTTTTGCCAACTGTGAGAGGGTCACCTTTCCTCGCCATTGTTTTGAATATGTCGCTGCAGATTGCTCGTCCTTCAATAATAGATTTCAGCATTGCTGGATGTCTCCTGTCGTCGTATGGCATGTTTACCGTTATGCCATATGTTCGTGGACAAATGCGCTCACTTATTAGTTCTGGATTATGTCCAAACATAACAGCTCCTTTTAGTACAGCTAAAACTGCATCTTGCGGACTAATAATTTCAAGATTTGAAAATTCCTTTTTTACCCGTTCAACTAATATTGGGGAATCAGAAAACCCTCCTACCATTAATATAGAGCCTATATGTCTTCTCTGTCGCGTTGTTGTTGCTAAAAGATCTCTTACATGTGAAATTATCGATTCGATTGAGTTAACAAAGAATTGTTTTATGATTTTCGGCTCATATCGCAGCTTTTCATTCGATACAGTGACAGTTTTGCCGTGAACTGATTTCTTTAGGTCTTCTTGTATGGAGTCAGATTTGCGGATATCAGTGTATGTGCGAAATAAAGATGCTGGATATGGAATAGTTGTTTTTGTTTTTTGTGATTCTTTGATTCCTCTTTTCTTTGCTTCAAACTTTCTTTTGATTTCTAAGATATCTTCTGGGAATTTCTTAACGTACGTTTCCCATACATCCTTACCGAATAAATCCCTTAAAAAAATTTCATACTCTAGATCAACATAAGTTCCACCCCAGGGTCCTCCGCTTGGTTCGCTTAGTTCTTTAAGGTCAGAATCATTTTGTACTTCATATGTCGTCACATCGATGGTTCCACCTGCAATTATCAGACAACTACACTCTCTTTGGCATTATACAATAAGATCGTTGTAAATAAGGGTTACTGACATATGGGAATTGGCTTATCATCATATTGTAGATACAGAAAAATGTTCTGCTTTCGGGATATATAAAATAAAAAATATAACGAAACGAAAGTAACCTACACGAAGTGTATCAATTGAAAGTGAATCAACGCGGATTTTGCAATTCATAAAGTCAATAACTTATAAATCAAACCAAGGGACAATTACAAGGGTGTAACTACCATTGAGGCAAGTGAGGCAATTACCTAACTAAAATTTCGACACTGAAACTGTCCAAAAATAAAAAAACTCCGGACAGCTTGTCTCAACGATGTCAAGTTCTCTGTAAATGCCCAAAATGCAGGATTTTACACCATTTATCCCAGACCCCTGCCGAAAATTTCGCCTCACTCCGCTCGGCATCAATTTTGCCTCACTAAAATAATATGCCTAGTTACGGCTTTGTCAATTATTTCGATTGTTATATTGAAACCCAATATTACAAAACACTGCACGCATCGTGACATCGATTTGAGATAGTGGTGTTGTATACTGGTATATCGAGTATTTTACCACGACTCTTATCATACGTTATTTTCAGCAACCCATTTTGGCTGCAGAAATGGGTATTTTTTGTAAGTAGGAATGCAAAGGATTGCGTCGCTTTTAATCTTGTTGTGAACTACACATCGATCTGCTTACAAGTAATTGAAAAAGTTAGTAAATCGCACTTTATATTATGTGTAGAAAAAGGTGTGTTTGTTTGTGTATTGATGTTAAACGCCAGTGTCAGCGATCTAGCCTATATTAATGATGTCAGTTTTTATTGGCAGAGGAAGCTGGAGTACTCGACTAGAACCATCTACCTTAGGTAGCAAAAATTTTTCTAAAAAAGGTAAAAGCTATCTAAAGCTAGATGATTCTAAGAAGTCACGCTAATTTAGAATAGTTTAATCAAACAAATAAATACCTCCACAGTCTAGAACCAAGAACTGGTGACCTGGTTCAAAAGATTGAAGACTACATCCCTCTGTGCCTTCTTTCCTCTGCACAGTTGCCTCTTTACAATAAATGGCGGCCGCTTCCGGTTCATAAGCAAGAGTTAAGAGGTCTTCATGTAAACCAGCCTTAAATGTAATGTAAAGAGATGTGGTATGATTACCAATGAGACAACCATATAACAGAGTCCAAATGAAGCGGATTTAAGCAATTATAGATAATCGTACGGCCTTCAACAATCAGAAAATCCATACGGTATAGTCATCTATAAAAGGCTCAGATATGACAAAATATGAAATAATTCAAACGAAAATCCAACAGCCTAATTTATCATAAAACAATAAACGAAAAAAAAATCATGATAGACAGTTGAAGAATGCTTAAACTTACATTTGATTTTTTTAATGAACTCAAAATGAAAAACTATTTACTCTTTAGCGCACTCAACTTTTGCTGACAGAAATTACTATACAAGTGTATCAATCGGACGAAAACAGTTCTCTCAGATATCTGTACTTTGTGTTGTTTTTTTCTGAAAGATGTTAAATACCATGCCACTTCCGGTCTGTGTTTTTGTTAGTTGTGTTTCCTTTGTATCGATAAGACGAGTTAAGCCTTTTTCAACTGATTTTTATACTTTGTTCTTATGGTTGTACTGTTGCACCACTGTCCCAGTGAGCAAATCCCATACCGCATAGTCAGCTATAAAAGGCCCCGAAATGACAAATGTAAAACAATGCAAGTTGGTGTAGATATCTCAACAGTCTGAATTCATATCCCGCTGATCGGCGATATAAATTCAAGACGAATAATAAGGAATATATAGATACCTTAATTTTTGAAAATGATACTGCTCGAACCTTAACAGAACACGAAAATTGGCATTTATTTATGGACCGTACGTAAAATTGCTTAAATTCACGTCAGTAAGGCTATGTTGGACAGTTGGTTCATTGTCAATAATACCACATCTCCTTATTTTGAATTTATTAACTGTGAGGAAAAAACACACACGGATTGTGTAAATTTAGTAAAAAAAATAATCAGGTTTATTAGTTTGTAGATGAATTATCAAATACTTGTAGCGTCTAAACCATAGGATCGTATAATACAACATAAATTTTTATTTTCAAATTATGTGTTTAAATATATCTTTTACCTCCTTTGCAGCTTCCCTCATGAATTGTTTTGCATTGTCTTTCCAAATCGCAGGCACTGTTAATACCCAGTGAATATCACCTTCATTCAATTTGAAATTAGCTACTTTGCAGGACTGCAGAAAATGGTCTTTCAAATATCGAATTGACTCCGAGAAAACTTTAAGCGCTTTCATCCCTTTACCGGTAACGTCTTCTAGTATGAGGTCTCTTGATATTCTATTTTTTCTCTATAAAAAAGCATGTTTTATAGCTTACTACACGATATGGATTTTGCCCATTGTTGAAGGCCGTGCGCTGATCTGTTATTGTTCACATCTTTGTCATTCGGTCTGTATGACAATCATACTATAATATAACAGTACATAAGGATTAAGTCTTGTTTTCGAATTGGTTCTGGTAAAATAAATTTGCTCCTTAACACGTCTCCTTTGCTTTTTTGTTGTGGTTTTTGATGTGCATGTACTGATTTTGTGTCATGGATGGATACCCAATATCCTTTGTTTTTCTATCACATTCATTCCCTTTTGTGTAAATATAAACAGTAATTCATTCTATCAACTAAAGAGGCAAACAATGAAAATATAAAATTGTCACAGAAATTTAAGTAAAACAGCAGTATTCAATCAAACAATCACTTTAACACTAACCCTTAATACTGGGTGATGTAGAGCGGACTCATCTTGAAACAACTTCATCTTAAACTTTGAGAAATAACTGTATCCTTCGTCGTCTCCACCTTCTAGGAGCTCGGAATATGTCCTCTCCGCATCGTATCCAAAACTATCAAGGTTTCCATCCTCATCAAACAATATAGCAGTTGGTGTTTTTGCTGTTATTAGTCCGTCTCCTGACTGCCAGTTTTCGTTACTGTATATCTTCGTGTGATCTTTCTTGTATTCATCCCGAAATGAATAAGCATATCCAGAATATGTAGTTCCGAAATCAATGGCTACAACAACTAAAGCATTTTGTTTTCTCCCCATATCAACTTAAAAAACATAAATTCTGCAATAGATGAAATCAAGATAGTTCACTACAAAACACTATAAAACATGTTATATGTCACAAGTCATGTCTTCTTTGACTGTCCATGACGTTAAAACACTAAATCCCTGGGATGTGTTTTTAATAGTTGATTTTAGTCTCTGATGCATGATTTTTTTATTATTAATTGTTTTAGGCTTTTAACTAGCTTTCAGTAACTGCGAGTACTCTCAAATCGTACTTTCGTGTTAATTTGACCTGCTGATACAATTTGTAATGTACTTTTGTTATTTAATGTTTACTTATTTAGTGTTATATCTCGTCTCACTATTTTTAATATATACCACCTTTGATAAGTGTTTAGTATGACGATAAATTTTCACTTTTGTTCTCGTACTAGGAACAACAAAATTATTTATTTTTTAAAAATTATTTCCGTACTCCGTGTATACCTTACAACAAAATTATTTATATTTACCTGTTCGCTTGTTTTTGTTAATATGTCTTTTGATTGAGTTAAGCCATTTCAATTGATATTTTATAGTGTGTCTTTCTATGTTGTGATGTTACACTACTGTTTCAGGTAGGGTGAATGTTGGCGGCTATTAAAACGTTTAAACCCGCTGCATTTGTTTGCACCTGTCCTAAGTCAGGAACTTGATGTCAAGTGGTTGTCGTTTGTTGATGTGCTTCATCAGTGTTTCTCGTTTCTCGTTTTTTTAAATAGATTAGACCGTTGGTTTTCCTGTTTGAATGGGTTTACACTAGTCATTTTTTGAGCCCTTTATAGCTTGCTGTTCGGTGTGAGCCAAGGATCCGTGTTGAAGGCCGCACTTTGACCTATAATGGTTTACTTTAACAATTTGTGACTTGGATGGAGAGTTGTCTCATTGGCACTCATACCACTTCTTCTTATACCTATTAACAATGGAATGATATAAATTATATATGAAATATGAATGATAGGTGACGTTTGGTAGACTTCCATAAGACAGCAACCCCAAGACAGAAAGGCAAACATATCTGAGGTATTCAACAATAGACAGGTGTATGTACTAATACATCTAGAGGTCTTCGATAATAGACAGGTGTATATACTAATACATCTAGAGGTCTTCAACAAAGGACAGGTATATGTACTAATATATATTTAGAGGTCTTCAATAATAAACAGGTGTATGTACAATATATCTAGAGGTCTTCAATAAAAGACAGGTGTATGTACTAATAAATCTATCTAGAGGTTTCAACAATAGACAGGTGTATGTACTAATATATTTAGAGGTCTTCAATAATAGACAGGTGTATGTACAATATATCTAGAGGTCTTCAATAATAGACAGGTGTATGTACTAATATATCTAGAGGTCTTCAACAATAGGCAGGTGTATATACGAATATATCTAGTTGTCTTCAACAATAGACAGGTGTATGTACTAATATATCTATCTAGAGGTTTCAACAATAGACAGGTGTATATACTGTAAATATCTAGAGGTCTTCAACAATAGACAGGTGTATGTACAATATATCTAGAGGTCTTCAACAATAGACAGGTGTATGTACAATATATCTAGAGGTCTTCAACAATAGACAGGTGTATGTACTAATATATCTATCTATAGGTTTCAACAATAGACAGGTGTATATACTGTAAATATCTAGAGGTCTTCAACAATGGACAGGTGTATGTACTAATGTATAAGGAGGTCTTCAATAATAGACAGGTGTATGTACAATATATCAAGAGGTCTTCAACAATAGACAGGTGTATGTACTAATATATCTAGAGGCCTTCAACAATAGGCAGGTGTATATACGAATATATCTAGTTGTCTTCAACAATAGACAGGTGTATGTACAATATATCTAGAGGTCTTCAACAATAGACAGGTGTATGTACTAATATATCTAGAGGTCTTCAACAATAGGCAGGTGTATATACGAATATATCTAGTTGTCTTCAACAATAGACAGGCGTATGTACTAATATATCCATCTAGAGGTTTCAACAATAGACAGGTGTATGTACTAATATATTTAGAGGTCTACAATAATAGACAGGTGTATGTACAATATATCTAGAGGTCTTCAATAATAGACAGGTGTATGTATTAATATATCTAGAGGTCTTCAACAATAGACAGGTGTATGTACAATATATCAAGAGGTCTTCAACAATAGACAGGTGTATATACTGTAAATATCTAGAGGTCTTCAACAATAGGCAGGTGTATATACAATATATCTAGAGATCTTCAACAATAGACAGGTGTATGTACAAATATATCTAGAGATCTTCAACAATAGACAGGTGTATGTACTAATATATCTAGAGATCTTCAACAATAGACAGGTGTATGTACTGTAAATATCAAGAGGTCTTCACAATAGACAGGTGTATATACTGTAAATATCTAGAGGTCTTCAACAATAGACAGGTGTATATACTAATATATCTAGAGATCTTCAACAATAGACAGGTGTATGTACAAATATGTCTAGAGGTCTTCAACAATAGACAGGTGTATGTACAAATATATCTAGAGGTCTTCAACAATAGACAGGTGTATATACAATATATCTAGAGGTCTTCAAACAATAGACAGGTGTATGTACAAACATATCTAGAGGTCTTCAACAATAGACAGGTGTATATACTGTAAATATCTAGAGGTCTTCAACAATAGACAGGTGTATATACTAATATATCTAGAGATCTTCAACAATAAACAGGTGTATGTACAAATATATCTAGAGGTCTTCAACAATAGACAGGTGTATATACAATATATGTAGAGGTCTTCAAACAATAGACAGGTGTATGTACAAATATATCTAGAGGTCTTCAACAATAGACAGGTGTATGTACTAATATATCTAGAGATCTTCAACAATAGACAGGTGTATGTACTAATATATCTAGAGATCTTCAACAATAGACAGATGTATGTACAAATATATCTAGAGGTCTTCAACAATAGACAGGTGTATATACAATATAACTAGAGGTCTTCAAACAATAGACAGGTGTATGTACAAATATATCTAGAGGTCTTCAACAATAGACAGGTGTATTTACTTATATATCTAGAGGTCTTCAACAATAGACAGGTGTATGTACTAATATATCTAGAGGTCTTCAACAATAGACAGGTGTATGTACTAATATATCTAGAGGTCTTCAACAATAGACAGATGTATGTACAATTTGTCAAGCACTTAATTGCCCTGAGTCGAAACATAGTTTAGAAAAAACTCATCAAATATCGTTTTTCATTTCGGTTTCCAACTACGTTATCTTGAACTAATCGTTTTGTTGGTTTTAACTATTTCACTGACAAGTTGGTTTCTGCACACAACGCTGCGTTTGAACCTTACTAGTGCGTAAAACGTAGTCCGCAATTTCATATTGCTTTTCAATTAAAGTGGAAATTTTCATAATACACATAAAACATTTCAATATTTCCTAAATATGAATAAATATATATTGCTTTATGATGAAACTTTCAATTTACAAAAATAGGAAATAAAACATTACTTGGGAAGCAGAATAAAAATAAGGAGTTGAGATGTTGTATGATTACCAATGAGAAATGTATCCACCGAAATTCCAAAGGAAAAAGAAGCAACAGTTTTTTTTCTCCTCAGTTTTTCGTAATCTTACCTTCTAAATGTGACGAAATTGTGTGAAAAAGAAAGATTAGATAAGATATGATAGATTTTAATTCCAGCACAAAGAAAGACACGGATATTTGTAAATGTTATCCACAGCCTTTTTTATATTGTTATAGCTTGGTTGAAAACTTTCAGTTCATAAATAATTGTACCATAAAGAAAAGATCGCATACCCCCATCAAGTTCTGTCATCAGTGGCGGATCCAAAAGGGGGGGGGGGGTCCGGGGGTTGGAACCCCCTTTTTTGACGATCAATGCTTTTGAACGGGGACATGTGGTTGGAACCCTCCCTTTAAAAATGGCTGGATCTGCCCACTTTCATTTTTAATGCACCATAACGTTTGAAGTAGTTGGCTTTCAAATATGGGATCTTTAGTGAACATGATGAACGTTATTGCAGAAACACGTATCGTATAACAATTGTTGAAATTATCAATGAGTATTAGTATGCTGTATAAAAAAAATCAAACTCTGAATACTTTCAATGGTTTATCATGTTTAACATGTTACGGACGCCATCTCGAGTTGGTTGAACGTTATGGAATATCTGTTTCACGGATGACAACGGATATGTTCCAATCGTCGTAACCACAATCCCGTCCTCCTTTTCCCCAAATGTGACCTACCGAATTAGACTATCACGAGCAACACGACGGGTGTTACATATGGAGCAGAATCTGTTTACCCTTCCGGAGCATCTGAGATTACCATCTGTTTGTGGTGGGGTTCGTGTTGTTCAGTCTTTAGTTTTCTATGTTGTGTTTTGTATACTGTTGTTTGACATTTTGTCTTTTTTATTATTTTTTTTTTGGCACTGACGTTGTCAGTTTATTTTCGACTTATGAGTCTGAATGTCCCTTTGATATTTCGCCTCTCTTTTTTTAACACGATATCTACCAATGTAATAAAAACGAAAGCCGACCACTTGTTATCTGGAAAGAACATATTTTTAATTTATTTAATGTCCTCATCTAACCCTTACCTGAAACGGTACACACAAGTTAGGTCTTGGAGAATAACGTCATGCAAAAAGTTAATTAAAAATCATAACAACATCAAAATACCTGAGTGAAAGGATTTACTTCCTTCATTTTTATATTTTTTACCTTTAAGAATTATCCCCCTTTGAGAGAAAAGTAAGTAGTTCACTAAATAAATACCAATAAATCTTTGAATATCTTCGTCGTCGGTTGCAGGCGGAAACCCAGTTGAAATTAAACAAAAGAAATTGATCTCTTTGTTAGAGAAGGTAAAAAAGGCCAAGTTGGTAAATTTGAATTGTTTACATCTGTTTCTATGAGCTTTACAAATTTAATGAATTTGCATAAGTTAGGATTTTATGCATCTTATATATGTGTTTTTACTTAAATTATGGTATGAAGCTTCGAGATATTTGTAAACTTTTAAATTATAGACACATTTTCACAAAACAGTTGATTGGGATAGGTGCAAATACATGTGGATCTTTTCCGCATATTAAATTCCGCCGAAAAAAAATCCAAAGATTGATAATAGATTGATCTTTTTATAGCATTAATTTTCATCTCTGCCCCCGGCGATAGTAATTTTTGGAAAAAATCCCAAAAATGGGCAATAATTTCATCGAAAAGAGAAAGTCGAGTACACCTTTTTATGTTCAAGCATATTTGAGTTGACTATTCTGTCTTGAATTCGTAAAGAAAAATATTTGATACAACATCTCGCTTCAGATTCTATTATTTTTTATATATTTTTAGGCTATATGTTGATATAATAACATTAAAAACTTACAGTACTAAGAAATGAAATATATTGGTCAAGTGAAATATCTTTCTAATGAGTCATAACAACAGAGTAGGTGTGTTCGAATTACAAATTTTTACTAAAAGTACTTGACGACAGACTTAACAAGTGGATCTTAAAAATGCATAACTTAAAAAAAACTTCATTTTTTGTGTGTGTTATCTAGGGTATATAAATATTAAATAGAATATTTTTAAATATTTTTGAACTTTCGAAAATTCCCCCTGACAACCGATCAGACAATAGTTTTAAGTTGACCAAATGCATAAAGATACATTAAATGATGCTCAATAGAAAGTAGATACATTTGTCTTTTACGATACATCTAGCAAATAAGGATTGTAATGGTGCTATGTGGATAAACTGATCGGGTTTCAAGAGCTAAATTGACAGCGCGTCATCACTACAATGGCTTCCATTTTTTTACGAAATAAAAATTGGGCGGCGTAATGGGGAGATAATTTTGACGAAGTAGAATCCTGATTGTTGGTATGAACATGATTTATTAGATACAGTGTGTGTTGTCTTGGAAGTGTGTTGATTGTCACATACATGATGCATTAGATACAGTGTGTGATGTCTTGGGGGTGTGTTGATTGTCACACACATTATTTATTAGATACAGTGTGTGTTGTCTTGGTGTGTGTTGATTGTCACACACATGATGCATTAGATACAGTGCGTGTTGTCTTGGAGGTGTGTTGATTGTCACATACGTGATTTATTAGATGCAGTGTGTGTTGTCTTGGGGGTGCATTGATTGTCACATACATGATTTATTAGATACAGTGTGTGTTGTCTTGGGGGTGCATTGATTGTCACCCACATGATTTATTAGATACAGTGTGTGTTGTCTTGAAGGTGTGTTGATTGTCACATACATGATTTATTAGATACAGTGTGTGTTGTCTTGGAGGTGTGTTGATTGTCACATACGTGATTTATTAGATACAGTGTGTGTTGTCTTGGAGGTGTGTCGATTGTCACATTCATGATTTATTAGATACAGTGTGTGTTGTCTTGGAAGTGTGTTGATTGTCACATACATGATTTATTAGATGCAGTGTGTGTTGTCTTGGCGGTGTGTTGATTTTCACACACATGATTTATTAGATACAGTGTGTGTTGTCTTGAAGGTGTGTTGATTGTCACATACATGATTTATTAGATACAGTGTGTGTTGTCTTGGCGGTGTGTTGATTGTCACACACATGATTTATTAGATACAGTATGTGTTGTCTTGGAGGTGTGTTGATTGTCACATACATGATTTATTAGATACAGTGTGTGTTGTCTTGGGGGTGTGTAAATTGTCACATACATGATTTATTAGATGCAGTGTGTGTTGTCTTGGCGGTGTGTTGATTGTCACATACATGATTTATTAGATACAGTGTGAATTGTCTTGAAGTTGTGTTGATTGTCACACACATGATTTATTAGATACAGTGTGTGATGTCTTGAAGGTGTGTTGATTGTCACACACATGATTTATTAGATACAGTGTGTGATGTCTTGAAGGTGTGTTGATTGTCACATACATGATTTATTAGATACAGTGTGTGTTGTCTTGGAAGTGTGTTGATTGTCACATACATGATTTATTAGATACAGTGTGTGTTGTCTTGGAGGTGTGTTGATTGTCACACACATGATTTATTAGATACAGTGTGTGTTGTCTTGGAGGTGTGTTGATTGTCACACACATGATTTATTAGATACAGTGTGTGTTGTCTTGGAGGTGTGTTGATTGTCACACACATGATTTATTAGATACAGTGTGTGTTGTCTTGGAAGTGTGTTGATTGTCACATACATGATTAATTAGATACAGTGTGTGTTGTCTTGGAGGTGTGTTGATTGTCACACACATGATTTATTAGATACAGTGTGTGTTGTCTTAAAGGTGTGTTGATTGTCACATACATGATTTATTAGATACAGTGTGTGTTGTCTTGGAGGTGTGTTGATTGTCACATATATGATTTATTAGATACAGTGTGTGTTGTCTTGGGGGTGCATTGATTGTCACCCACATGATTTATTAGATACAGTGTGTGTTGTCTTGAAGGTGTGTTGACTGTCACATACATGATTTATTAGATACATTGTGTGTTGTCTTTGGGGTGCATTGATTGTCACACACATTATTTATTAGATACAGTATGTGTTGTCTTGGAGGTGTGTTGATTGTAACATACATGCTTTATTAGATACAGTGTGTGTTGTCTTGAAGGTGTGTTGATTGTAACACACATGATTTATTAGATACAGTGCGTGTTGTCTTGAAGGTGCGTTGATTGTCACATACATGATTTATTAGATACAGTGTGTGTTGTCTTGGGGGTGCATTGATTGTCACACACATGATTTATTAGATACAGTGTGTGTTGTCTTGGAGGTGTGTTGCTTGTCACACACATGATTTATTAGATACAGTGTGTGTTGTCTTGGAGGTGTGTTGATTGTCACACACATGATTTATTAGATACAGTGTGTGTTGTCTTGGAGGTGCATTGATTGTCACACACATGATTTATTAGATACAGTGTGTGTTGTCTTGGAGGTGTGTTGATTGTCACACACATGATTTATTAGATACAGTGTGTCTTGTCTTGGAAGTGTGTTGATTGTCACATACATGATTTATTAGATACAGTGTGTGTTGTCTTGGGGGTGCATTGATTGTCACATACATGATTTATTAGATACAGTGTGTGTTGTCTTGGGGATGTGTTGATTGCCACATACATGATTTATTAGATACAGTGTGTGTTGTCTTGGAAGTGTGTTGATTGTTACATACATGATGCATTAGACACAGTATCTATTCTGTTGGCTGTTTGTGCTGGTAACGCGTCGATTGGCGGTGTCGATTTGTTGTGTTGTCCTGGCAATGCGTCGATTGGCAATTGCACGGGCAATATGATAAGAGTGAATACCATGAATAAATAATAACATCAAGGCCATGATAAAACGAAAGAACAGAACACACGCCAACTATAAAAAACAAAAAACAACAGCGTGAGAATAAAACGAAAATGGCAAGAATTAAGACGCACAATTAACAAGGAAATTGAAACAGCCCACAACAACTACGTCAACACTTTAATAGGCGATATAAAACAGGATTCTAAACCATTTTGGAAATATATGAACAATCAGAAGGCAGACAAACAGGGAATACCACCACTTAAGACTCAAGATAGTAAGACCGCCGATACAGACCAACAGAAAGCGGAGGCATTGAATACACAGTTTACACGCGTTAATACCAAGACAGAATATGAATCCATTCCATACCAAACTCCTCAAGACAAAATGAGGAACATCACAGTAACAACCATAGGAGAGGAGAAGATACTTAAAAACGTTAATGCGTCGAAAGCGATGGGTCCTGATGGTATACACCCCAGAGTACTGAAAGAATTGGCACCTAACATATCAGAGGTAATGGCTCACTTTTCCAACTATCCACCAACAGAGGAACCATCCCAGATGAATGGAAAAGTACTAATATATGCCCGTTATTCAAGAAGAACGACAGAACCATCCCAAGTAATTACAGACCAGTATCCCTAACATGTATCACTGGCAAACTACTAGAACATGTCATTTGCTCGAACCTAATGCAGCACTTTGAAGGTCACAGCATCCTAAATAGCCGACAACATGCATTTAGAAGAAGACACAGCTGTGAAACCCAACTCATTAACGTGATACACGACTGGGCAACTGCCATTGACAAAAGGAAACAAACTGATATATTTATTTTCGATTTTGAAAAAAGCATTTTACATCGTACCGCACGAGCTATTAAAAAGTAAACTTCACAAATATGGTGTGCCGAAAAACATCTTGAATTGGATTAACGCCTTCCTATCTACAAGATCTCAGTGCGTGGTAGAGAATGGGATTAAGTCCAAAACATCAACAGTCCTATCAGGAGTACCTCAAGGAACGGTTCTCGGTCCCATTCTATTTCTAGTCCATATCAACGACACAGCAGAAAATGTAAAATCGGGAATAAGGCTGTTCGCAGACGACTGTGTATGCTAAATAGAAATAAAAAATGAAGATGACTGTGCAGAACTACAGAAAGATATAGACACTCTTGGTAACTGGGCGACTAATTGGGGTAAGAGATTCCAACCATCTTCAGACAGCAGAAGAACCAGCTAAAACCTTCAGTGAAATTGTAAGGGGGCCCATTTAAGTAGATTACTTGACGCACGCGCGGTGTATTAATATCCTT